TGTGTGTGTGTGTGTGTGCGCGTGAGTGTGTGTGTGTGTGTGTGAGTGCGTGTGTGCGAGTGTGCGTGTGTGTGTGTGTGTGTGCATGCGCGCGAGCTCAAGGGTGTAACTAGTTTGATACGGCATGAAAAACTAACACAGAGTTAGTGTTAGAGAAGACTGAGGAAAAGGCGAGAGGGAGCAGCATGCGTGAATGCAGAACGTATAAAGCGTTTGCTCATGAAAAGCCTTCACATCTTCATGTTGCTACAGTGACTCGCGCTGCCCACTGGCGGCCGAGAGAGATCGGATAGCTATTAGAGAACGAGCCCATCAGAAATGCATGCCTACTCACAGGTTTTGCGTGGGCGAATCTGCTGCTGGGATACAAAGATAAGTCATCTCCTAAAGAAACGGAGGAAAGACAGAGATGTGCTTTAATACGCCTCAAAATCACACGAGAGAGCAAAAAGTAAGACAGAGTTGTTGCATGTCATGTCAAGACCTCTTGCACATGCCTGCACACCATGTTTTATTTCTACTAAGTGTTCATTTCATAATAAACTCAAAACATGGCATGCATTTCATTGTTTTATTTCATTGGTCTTCACAGGTCTTTGCGCCATGCAAGAGCACAATGCATTCAGCACAAGTAAATTTGTGCAGAAGGGCTCATTGTCCTGTAAGAGAAGCCCTTCACTGAGAAAGTCTGCTTCGGGGTATCTGCAGAATTTCCTGAATCAAATATAAGACTTTTTAGGACCTGCACAAACACAATTAATATTGCATGTCCACACAGAACAAAACTAACACAAAATAACTCATGCACCTCAGATTCTTCACTTAATTAAACAGGCTGAAGCAAATTCAACTGCAAAACAGTGCAAGTTTAAAATTCTCAAGACATGTTTTTACTAAATACTGTACATAGTAGTAATATATCAGTACATAAGAATTAGAGTTCAATCGATGCTGGATTTTGCTGATGCAATAATAAAGATCACTGCATCAGCAATAATCAAGCTTATTGCATCAGGATTGCATCCTTTAAGATTATAATAAAGATTATTGTTTAAAATCTATACATTGCATGTTAAATAATGTTCTTAGTCTTTGCTTTCTGTGACGGGGACTGTGCAAATTATATCCCAAAAAAAAAGACTTTATGCATAATGTGGGGCATTTAGTTATAAATTACACCAGGACTTTTATTTTGAAATGTCTATGCTTTACTACTTCCAGCTGCTCATTCAAACAGATGAGGGAGAAAGAATATGCACACTTACAACCATCTACAATATATAAACAAAGCAAACACTGTCCTAATTTAATCATCTTTTGACAGTATTCACTGAACAGAAACTGTGTTTGTGTGTCTGTCACTGTGTTAAACTAAGTTGCAATCCTGACAAACTCTGTTTTTTCCAAACAATGGGTGAGTGGTTTACTTCATTATTTATCATGCTTCATAAAAGCCTGCATTGCAAAACAAACAAATAAATAAATAAAACTATAGGCTGAAGCCTTCCACTACACAGCGTAAATGCTGTAACTTGTCACATTTTTTTTTTAATGGCTAGGACTCATTTCTTAATACTGAAATTCACTTTTTTTCCAAAAAATCTTCACACAGTTTTCCTAACCAACTTTTAGCTTGGCACAGCAGGAAATATCACATTCAAAACACACTAAAACTACCAAAACACTTCATGCCGGCTCAAATTAACACATTCAATTTCTTCACATTATTGACAATATTTATTGTTCACAGCAACAATTATCCTGAAGTGTCTCCTTCTGTATAGATGGGAATTAAATTAGCTATTCAGCTCCATCTAATTGTTTTGATATTATTTCATTTCAATATGGTATTACTGTAGAAATGTCTTATTCAGTTTTGCATTATGTTAGGCTTTGAAATTAAGTTTTACAGTTTTGAAATTAATATGCAAACATGTGCATGTAGGTACACTGAGTTTTGGATGCACGCAATTATTCATGCCATCTGAAAGACTGAACTGAATGCATTTTGTGCCAAAGCAATGTAAAGTGATCCACAGCTTAGCTGCGTGAAGAGTTTTGAAAAAGTGACCCAAGTGTTGAGAAACTACTCTTAGAGACTGTATGCTGAAATAATAATTGCATGTTTAAACAAACAAAAAAAAGCAGTCAAGCAGGTGATGAGGGGAGAGAATCATGTGCATGTTATCAATTAATCACTGAAAATGAAGTATGCTGAGATGTGTCGTCATCCAGCTGACATACACTTTATATATTTAATATATTCTCTACATTGAACATGTGAAATAGTGAGTGTGAGTACCTGTAAAATGGGCGCAGCGGTGTCATGGATGGAGAGGATGTGTGTGATGTTGTTTCTGGCTAATTGCTCCCTGTCTCTGGCATCTGTAAGAACACATCCACACGTTTATCATCTTTCCTAAACATGCACCTTTTTAAAAACGCCGTCGTGGATTCTAGCGGTCTTACCTTTGAAATTACCCAAGTACAGGTCTGGCAGAACCTGGAACGACAACCAAACTAGAACTTAACACTCACTCGGTTTTCCTAAAATCGACAGCTAATGTGTTTTTGTGTGTTGCATTCAAACATCAGCTCACAACTCGAAATAGTTTTCCAGTATCATCTGAATTTGCTGTAACATCATGTTTTTGTAAAGCTGTTAAACAAGTGAGTGGCTGACATACTCTGGGACAAGAGACAGCTATACAATGAAGGCATGCATTGTGTTTATGCATATGGTATTTTTCATAAATGTCAAGTTTGGGCAAATCGTCACATTTTTATTTAAGTTGTCAAATAAACCTCATAAGTTTGCATTCTTAATTTCTTGGTCAAACCAGTGGTTTGATATTTCTGTGTTAGTTTTTCCACTTTTAAAGATCATGTTCTAGCCTTACATGTGATCTGGATTATGTTATCAGATTCCAAAAATTAAGTACTTGTAATTTTGTAATGCTCGTAATCAGATTACAGTTACTTTTTAATGGATTACATGATTACATATTATTCACACAATGGCAGTGAATTATTCATAATCTTCTTCTTTTATTCGTTTACATTTTCCAAACCCCTTTGACATTATATTTACTTGAAATCTCTGAAGAAGTTAATATTTCAAAAATGTAACACCCATTCGCATGTTTACAGCTCAATCTTCTTGTATTTTAGTGTTCAAGTGTTTAAATTATTAATTTTATTTTGCTTTTTTATAATTTCATTAATTATTAGCGTTTTAATCGACTCAAACACCCACTGCAGTTCTTACATTAAGCCCAGTTTGAGAAACCCTGGTGTAATGTAATGCTTAATAATACATATTATGATGTTGATATAAAAAAATGGAACGTTTTCTTTTCCCTTTGCTTTTTTTAAATATGTAGGTCGCTTTGGATAAAAGCGTCTGCTAAATGACTAAATGTAAATGTAATGTTTGATGGCAAGTTTAAAACTATTTAGATAAAAAGTAATCTAAAAAGTAGTCAGATTACATTACCTAAAATGAGTAACCTAGATTACGTTACTAAATGTGTTTCTTCTGAAATCAGTGTAAAAAAGCAACAAGTTACCATTGTGACAACTTACCCCATATAATGTGACAACATGCCCTATACAGGTATTTTCGCATGTAAACAGTGCTTGATCTCTCCTGATTCAGACCAGACAACTTTTTCACTAGAAGAAGCCTTATTATGGATTATGGATTTATATTTTAACCGAAAACAACAGTTTGAAGTTAACATATATCTTGCTGGATTAGTTTCAGCTTTTGTCTTCTCCAGATGTTAACTGATGGACTGGAGTGCTGTGGATTACTTGTGGATTATTGTGATGTTTTTATCAACTCTCATTCTGACGGCACCCATTCACTTGCAGTGAGACACTCATGCAATGCTACATTTCTCCAAATCTAAACTCATCTACAATGCTAAGGTGTTTTATCACGTTGCTATGAACAATTGTTAGCACGTTGCTATGTGGTTGCTAGGGTATTGCTGTTGACAGAGTATTTCTATGCATTTGCTAAGGCATTCTAGTAGTTAGCGCGCTGCTCTGTGGTTGCTATGTTGGTTGCTATGTTGCTTTAGGTGGTTGTCAGCGCGTTGCTAAGCTGTTCCAAGTAGTTCTGAGCGGTTGCTAGTGTGTTCTGCCGGTTGCTAGCGCGTTGCTATGGTGTTTTTGCTTTCTGGCCCAAATCAACTTACAGTCTAACTGTTATAATGTTCTTTAGACACGTCTCGGGTCACTGTAAATCGATTTTTTAATTTATTTTATAATCAAAGACACGTGATTTGAGAAATCGATGACAGTTGCGCTTATTAGTTTCGTTATTAGTTAAATCAAAAACCCTGAGTATATGCGCAACGCGTTCTTTAATGCACGCTCTGCGTTATGATTCAACATCGAGATTACATTCCCTCTCAAAGTTACAGTCTTAAAGCACGAGGAGAAGGGAAGTCATGCCCATCTACCTTATTAATTCCGTTTCCCATGCCACAGTGTTTCAGGAGTCCGCTTGTATCGAGCTCACATCTAACTAAGTTGTCGTGCAGAGTCCACGCGCTCAGATGCGCCGAGCTCCTCGACGAGAATCTCTTAAAGGCACAGTACACACTATTACTGACACCAAGCACTGTTCACAAACTCGTGATGCTACTAAAGCTTGATTAAATTACTCGCAATGGTTTCATGCTAGCAGGACTGCATTGAATTGAATATCTGTAATTAAGATTAAAATTAATATCTAGTCATTTTAAAAGTGCACGGGCAAAAAGGTTTCCGTCACTTTGATCCTTTTCTGCAATATGGGCGAATAAATGAATAAAGACATTACATTTAAACGTGGATACGATAGAGGACACTTTTAGGAATTATAACATGTTTTCTGAAATACTTTATTCTGATTGGCCAGTCCGTTCTGTACTGTTTTTGCACATAAACCAGTAAATAATTCCGATTTAAATCTATAGTTGGAGTCCAATCCGTTTATTTATTTATTTATTGCCAAGTAAAATTTATTTGGGCACTTACTTATCTCTTACAACTGCCTTTTTTTTTTTTTCTTTTTTTATTTTT